AGGCTGTCCAATTTGCAAATTTTTCTTTGCTCCGAAATGATTCATGAATCATTCTTTAATTAAATTAAACTCAGTTAAATTTAATTTGGCCGCGGTTTTTCTTTTAACAATAGACTAGAAAAACCAAAATTTCAGAAGGAAAATGGTCTGTCATCAATGAGTTGAGGTTACTGGTCATGTTTTTCTCTGGGGACGTTTGCTAATTCTAGGCACAAGGAGACAATCCAGCTTGGCTCAGGCAGAGGATTCTTAAGGTAAGAGGAGGCACCAACAGAATATCTGATGCTTGTAAAATCTGGCAAGACAAACAGGAATCTAAAACGCCAGGGCCAAATTCCCCTATGGGCGATTTGCTGAGAAGTGGAACAGCATGAGAGCTCTGAAGTTGAATGAGAAAGAGTATAGGGTCCTCTGTTCACCCTACTTTCTTTCTGTGTCCTGACTGCTCTGTGATCCAGCCAGTTGCAGGTGTTTTGTAGCAGACCCAAACCTGGGCCTTGAATATTCCTAGGAACTGATAAAGATACCGAGGTTGCTGCCTACAATACTGAAAAAGAAACTAGCCCTGGCCCTGAGCCAAATTCCTTAAACTCTCATATAAACTCCATACCCTGACCCCTTCACTGCAGTCATACCTAGGTAGAACACCCATTTTGTCTTGCTGTCCATTTTGCAAACTGCTGCAGCACTCTGTATGTTTCCTTAATAAATGCTTTGAATTGACCACTCTGGCATTTAGTGTTTCCTTCTTTCTTTGGAATCCCAACTGGCCCCATCTCTGGACAGTTTGGGGCATTCCATCATGGGAAATCTTCTGCTGTCATTTTTGGGGGTGATTCTGGCCACAGGTGTGACGGGACGAAACACAGAGTGAAATATGCTATAGTCTGTTGCTGCTTAGAACTTGAAGTTTACAAAGAGGGAGGGGAGAGGCTTGCAACAAACATAACACAGTTCTCCACCTTAAGACATTTGAATAAGGTTTAACATTTGATTGGGTATGAAACAAGGAATGAACAATTGGAAATGGAAAATTTTAAAACAGTATCATATACAATAGTATCAAATAGTATCAAAAAACATGAAATACAGAACTAACAAAATATGTGCAGAAGTTGCATGTTAAAAATTTTAAAACATCATTGAGAGAAATGAAAGAGGACCTAAATCAAAGGAGATATACTGTGTTCATAAATTGGAAGATTCAATATTGCTAAGATGCCAGTTCTCCTCAAATCAATCTATACTCCAATGAAATCTAATCAAAATGCCCACAGATTTTTTTTTTGTCGATATCAATCTTTAATTCTAAAATCTGTATGAAAAGGTAAAGGAACCAGTGTAGCCAAATCAATTTTGAAAAATAAGAACAAAGTAGAACTCAAGTCACCAGATTTCAAAATTCACTGTAAAGTTATCAAGAAATCAATTTTATGCTGTTAAAATGACTGGCAGTTCATTTCAGAAAAAACACTATTCATATTTTTCTGGAATATTCTCTTCCATTGATAAATCAGAAACATGTATTCACACATACATGATCAATTGATTATTGACAAAAGTGCCAAGGTAAGTGGAGAGAGGAGAATCTCTTTAACAAATGGTTTTGAAACATTCACCCTTATGAAAAAAAAAAATACACTTCAACTCTTGCCTGATGTCTCACACAAAAATTAATTCAAAACTCATCAAAGACCCACATGTAAAACCCAAAGCTATGAAACTCTGAAGAAAACATAGAGGAAAATCTTGTTACTTTGTGTTAGGCCAAAGGTTTTCAGATATCACACAAAAACATAAAAGAAAAAATTAGTAAGATTAGACTTCATAAAAACTTTTGACTTCAAAAGACATCATGAAGAAAATTGAAACCAGCCCAATTTCCTCATAGAACTGATGTTTATGGTCTTTTTAAATAAACAGAAATTGACACTCCTGGTCTTAAGCTTGAAAGTTAAATTTGTCTTATCTGAGTTCCTTTCTTAGAAAACTGACCCTCAGGCCTCCTAGATAGTATAAAGGAACTGAAACTCACCAGATCACCACATCCAGACAATGAGAAGCCAGATTCCTCTTCCTTACCCCTCCCTAATTCCTGTTTTCTACATTCTTTCCCTGGTATTTAAATTTCCAATTTTAGTCAGTTAGAGAGACAATTTGAGACCTATCTCCTATGTCCACAGCTGCGGCACCCAAATAAAGCCTTCTTCCCTGGCAGTACTCTTTGTCCCAATGATTGGCTTTCTGTGCTGTAAACAATGAGATCTAGATCAAACCCCTGGCATTTCCATAATAAAGTGTTTTAAAAAGGAAAGATGTGTCACATACTGGGAGAAATTATATGCAAATTAAATATCTGACTTTTGTCATATATGTACATATATATGAATGATATGGGCAAAAGATACAAACAGAAACTTCCCAAGTTTACCAAACTTCTTCACCAAAGATACAATAACAAATAAGCATGTTATTCAACATCATTAATCACTGGGAAATGCAAATTAAAAGCAGAATGAGATACCCCTACATAGCTATAAGAATAGCTAAACTTAACAAAATTATCACCTGCTAACAAGGTTGCAATTTGGCGTTTCCTGTAAAATTAATACTTATCATATAACCTAACAATCCTCCTCCCAGGTATTTATCAAAATAATTAATAACATATATCCATACAAAGACCTGTATGGGAATATTTATAACAGTTTTACTTATTCATAATTATCAAATACTGGAAGCAATCCTAATGTCCATTTGTTTGTGGTACATCCATTCAATAGAATAGTACACAGCAATGAAAAGAAATGAGCTACTGTTACATACAACAACATGGCTAAATCTCAAAAGCAATATGCTAAATAAAACAAGCCAGACAAAAAGTGCTATATATGTTATAATTCCACTCATGTGACATTCTGGTTAACACAGAATCAGAAAACAGATCATTGGTGCTATGGGCTTGAAGTGGGGAAGGAGCACTGACTACAATGTGGTACAAGAGAACTTTCTTAGCTAAATGGAATCATTCTATATACTTACTGTGATAGATATATATTATGGTTTGGCTGTGTCCCCACACAAATATCATCTTGAATTGTAACTCCCTAATCCCCTTGTGCCATGGAAGAGACCCCATGGAAGGTAACCGAATCATGGGGGTAGGTTTTCCTGGGCTGTTCTCACAACAGTGACTAAGTCTCACAAGATCTGATGGTTTTATAAAGGGGAGGTTCCCCTGCACACACTCTCTTGCCTACCATGATGTAATATGTGACTTTGCTCCTCCTTTGCCTTCCACCGTGATTATGAGGACTCCACAGTCAGTGGAACTGTGAGTCACTTAAACCTCTTTCCTTTATAAATTACCCAGCCTTGGATATGTCTTTATTAGCAGCATGATAACAGAGTAATACAGTAGAGAACTCTGTATTTTCAAAAGTCATGGAACTGTACACATAAAAGGGGTACATTTCCCTATATGTAAATTATATATCAATAAATCTGACTTTAAAAAATAGCTAAGATCATACCAGGAAAAATATTAATTTTAATTATATCTCAACATAACATACAAAGCACCAATATCCAGGGTATGTACAGCACTCTTACAAATCAATACCAAAAGGATCACCAAATTTAAAATTGGGCAAAGATAAAGTCAGGCAACTCACAGAAGATCTAGGAAGTAAAATTATAAAGTAACAACCATTATTTTCCCATCACAAAAACAAGAGTTTACGACCCGTAAATCAAGTGTTGATGAGTCTGCAAGGCAAAGACCCCAAAGAGTTGCATCAATGGGGACGATGAAATTTCAACTATATTCATACTTGGCTAAATTGAAAGGCAGAATAATAACCTTTTAAAGAGTGATTGCCTTTGCTATTACAATTAATGGACCTCTGTCTAGATGAGCTGAGGTGGTCCTGAATACTCTGGTGAGTTTCATCAGTGCTGGAATAATCAGTCAATCCTTCCAGACATGGGAGGTATCCACAAATGATTCTAAGGATTTACCCAACCACCAAGCAAAGAGTGATGTCCAAATAACCACATAAATGGTGACAGCCCCCTTGATATTTTGAAGGAAGAAACTCAAGTGTGAAATGAAGGCACAGCAAAATTTAAAGAACAAAGAAAATGAAACTGACAAATGTATTCTTCTACTAATTCATGTTGACAAATGGGAAGAGTCTATAAATCATAATTTATGCAATTTGCTTAAGTATTCTCAGAATCAAAGCTTTCTAATGGCTCAGTTTCTGAACTGGGTTGCTCCTGGGTGATTTAAGGAATTTTCCAAGGATATTTTTGACTGTGTTCAACTTTCACCTGACTTAAACACTCTCTTAATTATTTATTGTTTATTTTTGAGATGGAGTGTTTCTCTGTGACCCAAGCTGGAGTGCAATGGTGCTATCTTGGCTCACTGCAACCTCCGACTCCCGGGTTCAAGCGGTTCTCCTGCCTCAGCCTCCCAAGTAGCTGGGATTACAGGCATTACAAGTGCATGCCACCAGGCTGGCTAATTTTTGTATTTTTAGTAGAGACAGGGTTTCACCATGTTGGCCAGGCTGGTCTCGAACTCCTGACCTCAGGTGATCCAGCCTATGGCAGAGTGAGTTCGTGACTCCATTCCATAAGATCATCAAAGGCACAGATTCAGTCTTACAATATTTATTTTCTCCTGCAAAACACCTAGGTTAGTACTTGGACCATGAAGTAGGACCTCAGTTACTTTAAGGAGTAAAGAAGGAGAATACGAAAGAGTCCTCTCAATAAAATACATCTGGGTTGACTATTCGGAAATGAAAAGGGCAAGACCCAATAGGGGCAGGGAGCAAGACACTCCAGATAAACAGGTGAGCCTACAGAGGCTAAAAGTCATACAAACAGCCACGCACCAGCCTGACCAAAGGACACCTTCTGAGCCCAGATTGCTCAACAGTAAAGGCAGGTTAATCATTACGGGCGCTTCCTAGGACCGCTGAGGCTATGATAGGAGATCATACAGATAAAGCACACCTGGGGATGTACTGATCCTACATTTGACCCTCACAGTCATCCGGAAAAGAAAGCTGGGGAAGGAGCTGAAGGAGTGGGGCTTGGCACCTCATTTTCCCAGGTAAGAGAGGAAATGATTCATCTAAGGCCTGGGAGCTAATTCGAAGTTGGAAACAAGGCAGCACCCCCAGGCCTTCTACTCTTCAGGCTACCTGTCTGGCAGGGGAATCCCAAGAACAAACTCCGAGGTCCCGTAACTTTCACGGGAGTGAGAAAGGACCAGGGAAGGCTAAGGAGGGGAGGGATTTGGAAAGTCTGGGGAACCCCTGGGACGCAGGGCGAGGACGAGAAGAGCAAGCAGACGCCCCGGCCAGTCCCCACGCCCCCCACACTTTGACCCCACAATCTCTGCGAGGGTCTCTGACCTTGTTGCACTCCGGATCCCACATTTATTCCACCCCCATTTCCCGCCCAGACCCCGCGTCCAACTCACAGAGGCCGCTGCCACCGCCGCGGGCGAGGGGCTCCATACCTAGCTTGAAGCCTCCCGCATTCAGTCTGAGCCGCCGGAGCTGTTGCTGTCCGTTGCCACGGCAACCACGGAGCCGCACAGCCTAGCAAGCGGCGCGATAATTGGAGGAGGCAAGCGTCCATAGCAACCGCCGCCCCAGCTGCTCGTTGCAAAAGAATTTGGTTTCTAAGGATTCTTAGGACACCACCTCTCTCCAAAGGCACATTTCGCCAGGCACTTGTCCTAGTTCTTTAAAGATGCTTCGTGCATTATCTCATTGAACACCTGCCTCCCAGTGTTGCTGTGGGAATCTCTTATCTCTACAGGAATTTTTAACTTGTGGTCCTTTGACCTCTTCAGGAGGTCCACGAATACCCTTAAGTTATGACCAAAAGTTTGTGGCCATGTACCCAGTCAGATGGTCCATAGCTGTAGATTCTCAAAGGACTTGGAACCAGAACTCTGGTCGCCCAGTGCCCAAGACGGCATAAGAGTATAAATCTCATATGCATTAACTCCATTTTCATTCTCAGAGACAGCAGACAAATAGAGGGCGGTTCTTCCTAGACTCCACTTATGTTTAGTCAAATCATGACTTGAGACATTGCCCAAAGACTTTAACTCTTGACCTTCAGTCATTCATTCAAATAAATATCTATTGATGACTAATTATGGGTCATATATTTGTCATAGAGAAACTTTTCTAAGCATTGAAAGAAGCAATTGTCAAGGCAATTTCTTGGAGCTTTACTTCTGATATGGGAGACAAAAGAAGCATAAACAAGATCATCTGAGATCGTGGTACTAAACAGAATGTTAAGACGTGATGAGCCCAGTAGATGGGTGGTTAGGGAGGGTATCTTTGAGGAGACGATTGAGTTTGAGCTGAGATGTGGGAAGACACCAGCTATAGAAGAGCAAAGGAGAGGGTGGGCAGCACAAGAAAAAGCAGCAGAAAGTTAAAGGCAGAAATGAATTTGGAGTGCTTGAGAAAATGAAAAGTCAATGTGGCTGCCTCAAACAGACACACTCAGATTGCCCTTCCCTGGCTCTTCATAATACTATCTCCTTCTCTGTACTTCCTTGCTCCTCTGTCCTCCATCACACCAACCATGTCACCCTATTTATTTCCTTCAAAGCTCTTGTAACTTTCAATTGTCTGTGAGCTCCATAAGAGACTGTGTCTCCCTTATGGTATCCCCAGCACCTAAAATAGTAACTGGCCCAGCATGGGCACTAAATAAATATTTGTTGATTGCATCAATCTACGCATCACAATACTAGAAACTGTGGTTGACTGGGAGACACAACAGAGAACAAGATGAAGACACTTAAGCCTTTGAGAAGCTTAAATGCTTGTGGAATAATTGAATTACAAACTATGTGAGCCAACTAATTGGGTGCAGAATCAAATAATTTAGAATGTAAGTACTGTGGGAAGACATTGAATGATTCCCTTGGCAATTTTTTTCATTCTTTCAATTATATTTCAGTTCAATTTCACAAATATTGAATGCCTACTCTATGCCAAACATTGTTGTTTATAACAATGAATGAGACAGACAGCAACTTTGCCTACAGAACTTACAAGCTACTGCTGTACTGTCCACTACAGTTGCCTCTAGTCATTTGTGGCCACTGATCACTGAATATGTAGCTGGTCCGAACTGGAATGTGGAGTAAGTGTAGACTCCAGATTTCAAAAACTTAGTGCAAAACAAGAATGTAAAATATCTCATTAGTATTTTTAATTGATTTCATATTCAAAAGATAACGCTTCAGATATGTTACATTAAAGAAGACCTACTATTAAAACTCATTTCACCTGTTTTTATCTTTTTTTAATCTGGCTGCTAGAAAGAGTTAAATTACATAAGTGCCTTGCATTATATTGCTATTGGACTGTGCTGGTCTAGTGGGAGCTTAATGCTATTTGAATAAACAAGTAAAATCTTGTCGGAAATGTTAAAATAGACATTTTGGTACAGGCATGAAAAATAGCAAATTTCAAATAAATAAAACAGATGAATTTAAAAAGAAAACAAGATAGGCAACTCAAATTCAGTTTATACCAACACTGAAGGTATAAAAGGGTCAGGAGTGGGAGATTAGAAAGAATTTCTAAAGAGGATTTTCATGAAGGATTTCTTTAAAAAGAGCAGAACTGTGAGTCCCACCTCCAAATCTCCAGTCAAAAGAAAAGGGCTTTGAGGAAGCCACTGGATGTTTAACATATGGCACCTACAGTTCAGGTGGCACAGTGGGCTTGTGTCTGAACTCCACCTGGAAATTCTAAAGGGCAAGAGATATGCTCACCAGTCAGCTGCTTGATTAGAAACAACTTCCTTCTTCCCCTAGTATTTATAGGTAAAAACTGTGTTTTTTCTATGAAGGAGATGAAGGTCACTCAAGAAAGATTGTGCAGGGTCATTTTAGACACTTTCCATCTTGTTAAGTAAAGAGGTCTCAGAAAAATGAAACTGAGTGCTATGGTTTGAATGTGTCCTCTCCAAATTCATGTGTTGAAATTCAGTGGCCAATGTGATACTATTAACAGGTGAGGCCTTAAAGAGGTGATTGGTCATGAGGGATCCTACGTCATGAATAGGGTCAATGACCTCATAAAAGGGCTTGAGGGAGGGAGTTCATGCCTCTTACTCTTTGGCCTTCTGCCATGTGAAGACCCAGTGTTCTTCCCCTCTGGAGGATGTGGCACTCAAGGTGCCATGTTGAAAGCTGAGACTGCCCACTCACCAAACAACAAACCTGCTGTTGTCTTGATCTTAGACTTCCCAGACTCCAGAACCATGAAAAATACATTTCTGTTCCTTTTTTTTTTTTTTTGAGACGGAGTTTCGCTGCTATTACCCAGGCTGGAGTGCAATGGTGCAATCTCGGCTCACCGCAACCTCCGCCTCCTAGATTCAGGCAATTCTCCTGCCTCAGCCTCCCGAGTAGCTGGGATTACAGGCGTGCGCCACCATGCCCAGCCAATTTTTTGTATTTTTAGTAGAGACAGGGTTATAGCAGCACAAAAACAGGCTAACACACTGAGGATATTGCTCGTTATCGAGGGATCAAGAAAAAGCAAAGAACCAGCCAAAAGAAAGATGTGTTTGACCCCAGTAAGAGAACTGCAGGATACAGATTTCCAGCAATGAGAGTGAGCTATCTTGAAAGACTCTGAAAGTGCCCCACCAGAGGATGTATCAACTTAATCACGGCAGTATCAGACAAGTAACAACTTTTTGTCTTTTCCTCTCCTCCGCCTATGCCCCAGTGCCAGAGAGGCCATGAAACGGTTCTCCAGCTGAGGGTACAGGTGTAAAGATGTCAATGAACCCAGAAAAAAACAACAGAAAAGAGAGAAGAAGGTGGCTATGTTTCCATTCTCCAACTGTAGGTCTCCTGTCTGCAACAGGCCTAAAATAAAAGAAGAGAGAAGCTGCAACTTTTAAAAGTTTTTATTATCACCTTGGACAGAACATCTGAGCAATTGCATTACGGCTGTGTTTTGACACCTACAAGAGTCCATAAAAGTCTTGGCACCTAAGTGAGTTTACTCAAGGGCAGGGAAATAATTGGCCACAAATAGGAAATTTAAAGAGAGACTAGAAGACAAATATTAAGTTGCTTTATGACTGCCACCCACAAGTCATGCTTGTTTGGCTCAAGGGCTCCCTAAAAATATGAAATAGGCTATAAATAAAGACAGAAACATGTATTCATCTTGGGGTGAGGAAGCCAGTGGCTTTTTGAAGCGTACAGAACAGAAGATGTATAAAGTTAAATATTAAAGTGCATATTACTTCAGGGAGGAACATGGATTATCTAAAGTCACATAGCACCTGCACCTCAAACCTAAGACCAGTGATTAATCTCCTATCCCCAGGGGTTTAGGGATGCTGAGGCTGCAGAGACCAGTGGCCAGCAGTTATGGGGCTGCTCCTCTGAGGCTGGTATGTTCTTAGTGCCAGATAGACAGGCAGACAGGCATGCAGCCTTCTCAGGAAAAGCAATAGAAAAAAACCAAAAAGCCATTCAGTACAAATGCATAGTGCACTGAAGGTTAATTACACTATTAAAAAGTAAATCAGATTTGAAAAAATATATATTTTTTGTTAACTTACATTTCCCCTAAACTAAAGAGGCTAACAGAAAGGATGAAGACCTCTCCATTCTTAATGAGAGCTGCCTGACTCCTAAGGAATAACATACTTGGATTAAGTTGGGGTGAGGAAGCCAGTGGCTTTTTTCTAAGGAGTGAGCAGATAATTGAGTCATTGAGCAGTGAAAACTGAGCTTCTTCAGACTTCATAGTGGTTAAGGAGGCTGGTTACACTGAGAGCCCCAACCCTCTGACTTACTCAGGCAGAGGAGGGTTCTGGGCAAGAACTTGGGTGACAGATATCAAGAAATCCTAGACTCACCATTGTAAAACACCTTAGAGATCAACGGGTATAAAACTCTTATAACATAGCAGTTGCTCAATACATGAGCAATGATTTTTCTATTAGGAGATGACTTGAATTCCACCACTTACTGCCTGTGTAGAGTTTGCTACTTAACCTCCCTGTGGTGCAGTTCCCATTTCTGTAAAAACAGAGGCA